ACGGTGTTAGTTACAGTAGCAGAGATTTTAAAACAAAATCTATGTTTTCACCATTTCTGGGTGCATTTCCACCAGCCTTTTGAGAAACTTTAACTGTTCTTACTACCACGCTGTCATTCACCAGCCATGCAAAACAATGAACTCAAGTTCCAGTTCCCAAATCCTAGTTTTCAGGCAAGGTAACTCAGCAGCTTTTCCACTTCTTTGCTGAGACAAACCTCACACCGACGACTAACCCTGCCATCTAGTGGCATTTATCACCATGGCATCCCCATGTTTCCTCCGAATTTTTGACGCAGCATCCCTTTGTGGTAGATAGACTTCGAAAGACTTGCAGAAAAATCTGGAGAGATGCTGAAAAGCAGTTCTGTTACAGGCATTTCTCCTTTTATATAATAAGGTATTTTTCACTGCCAGTGTTTCAAAACCATGTTACGTACAGATATGGGAGGAAATCGCAAGCTCTGAGCTGTATTTTCTGCATGACATATAGCTTCTTCTGAGTACACCTTCACAAAGGTGAAAAAAATATTTAGAAGCCCATCTAATGCTAGAAATAGGGCTGAGAACACAATGGAGTTGTATCCCTTTCCTCACATTAAACAAACAAAAAACTCAAAAAACCAAACCTCTAAAGAACCATTTTTGCTGTATTTTTGGAAACCAAGTATTTTAGAAGTTTTAACAGAAGTGACTTACATTACCAGTACTTGAGCATGTTTCTCAGCTGGAGCTGGGAGGACATTTCTAAATAAAATGTTGACTTCAGAAGTGATGTTTTAGCTTGCATGATGGCTGGGAAGCGCAGGGTAAGTCTGTCCTTGTTGGAAACCACTCAGCAGACCACCATGCCATCTTATTCCCTTGCTCAAGTACTTTGTGACTCCTTTTAGGACCACATGACTGAAGAGACAATCATTTCTGATGTGTCCATGCCATGCATGCCTCCAGGTCCTAGCTATCTCAAAGAGCAGGTGACCTTTCTGAAATGCAAGGTGGTTCCTTCTCATGCTTTCACTAAATGTTGGGAAGCCGGAGCTCTGGAGCTACAGAAGTTACTAAAGGAGATTATAATGGACCTTCTTCTGCAAAGGGAAAGGTTTCTGATTCTTTGGAGGAGTGTCATTTAGGGGATATGAAATTAGCATTCTCTTCACCTAATCTTGTAGTTTTCCCATCAGAGTGACAGTGTGGAAATCTTTTTTGTTACCTTTCTAATCACCTACTCTGTGGGAACAAGTTGTCTTTGTACTCTCTATCCCTTACCCTACTGCAGTCAGAGGACCTGGATAAAAAGCAGAATTCCTACCTTTTAGCTCAGAAACTCATTTACTGGCTGTGAGAGGCTTGAGAAGGATGTAAAAGGGCAGGAAAAGCTGGCTAACCACGCAGCTTATTAAGACTGAATAGTGCTGGAGTAGTGAGATTGTGCTGGGTCAGCACAGTGTTCTGTTTTAAAATATATGGCAATTGGTATCTGTGATAATAAGTAGAATTATTGTATAGTTTGTTCATGAAGGCATAAAACACAAAACCAAAAAAAAAAAAACATTGAAATGTTTCAGAGAAGGGATCAACCTTATATTTTGCCCACTGAACCCCATTAGCATAGCGTAAAAATTTTTCTTTAAGTCAAAGCTAATATTTTTGAAAAAGGTAAAGAATGGAAAGTCTTTGCCCTGAAACAGCCAAATGAAAAAAATATGAAAACAGCATTCAGATCAGACTTCTTTCCAGAAAGCAGAGTATTTCAGAAATGCCTGCTTGTTGACCCAAGTTAGCAAGCCTGCTAAAGAAAAAGCAGGATTTTCAGTATATTTGGAAAACTTTCTCCTTTTCAGGGAGCTCTGTCGGGATTACCGGCTTCCTACAGCTCTCACTTTGCACAGGACTTCTATGAAAAGGCTGTTTGGTCTAACGAGGGAATGAGGGTAGTTCGTTCATTGTAAAATCCACATTTGGATGTACGGTTATACACATACCTATATGTTTACTGTACCTGTATCTTGGGTGAATGATTGCATAGATGATGGGATTGTAGATGGCAGAAGCTTTGGCGATAACTGCTGGCACAGATTTGGAATATGGTGTTAGGGTGTTGCCTCGACTAAAAGCAAAAAACATTACACACAGTTACGTCATGGGTTAATACTACATTACTAAAACCTATTACTCTTTTTGATTGTTTTTCTGCTGTGATTTCTTTATAAGAAATACCCCAGAAATGGTAATTCATTCAAATGCAAGATGCAAGTTTGACAGTTTGACAGTGTGAACTCGGTTTCATTCATTTGGAGAAGATGGAAGACATGGAAGTAATTAGTTATCTATCTGAAGGTGAACAGGAACACAAAGAATCACCGTCCCTGTTTTTACATCAGGCAAAAGAAAAACCCCCAAATCCACTCAAACAACCCCCATTGTGACCATCTGGGAAAAGTGAATGGCAATTAAAAAAACCCAGACCAAACCTAACCAACCATGCTGCACAATAACGGGTGTCAATGCCTCAGCTGCAAACACTGCAGAAGGAAGAGAGGACTGGAAATGGTTTGAAACCAATATTCTCGTCTTGACATCCCACAGTCAGTCATGTATAGTCAATCACAGAATGGTTTGGGTTGCAAGGGACCTTTAAAGATCATTTATCTGGCCCCCCTGCCATGGGCAGGGACATCTCCCACTAGATGAGGCTGCTCAAAGCCCTGTCCAGCCTGGTCTTGAAGTCAAGAACATGTGCTGACAAGAGGTCCCTTTGGAGTGGAGAGCGGTTGGAGGAAGATGGGAGCTCACAGGTGAAGATCTGGGAATTTATCCTCTTTTCTGCCCTCTGACAGAGGCAGCAGTGTATGGAGGAAGCTTCTTGAGAGAACAGATATTAGGAGAGAAAAGAGGTAACTCCTCCAACGCATACAAAGAAAGAATCATGGGGGAGAGGAAACAACATGTACCAAAAACCCAGATAAAAGGTCGTCATAGTTTAAAAATACATAGACAAATAATCCATTTTCTGGGTTTATCCAAAAAGATATAGTGAAGAATGCAATCTCACCTCTAATGTAATGACTATTTAAAACCCTTTCAAAAGGAAGATCTGCTTGTGGGTGACAGTACTGATCATATCTACATTTCAGAACAGCCCATACTGTTTGGATTACATTTGCACTTACCCTGCCCAGGCAATCAAGGTGACACACGCGTATGGAGACCAGGACAAGACAAACACAATGATGACCACAAAAGCAATTTTTGCCAGTTTCCATTCATTCTTCATGGACTGAGAGAGGTAGGATTTCCTACTGCAGGACCCGAGCATTTGAACTTCTCTGTGAAGGGAAAAAAAAAATTAGATCTGTCAGCAGGAGGGTGGAAAAGTGAGGTGCAGCATCTCTCATGTATTCTCAGCGATATGAAGCAGATTTCATCACCCTGCTCTAACTATTCGTTTGTCCTCTGATACTTAAAAACTCTAGAAGATAATTAAAGTAGTAAAATGGTCCCAGGCGTTCTGTCTGAGCTTTGTTTGCCTGCAGGACTGAGACAGAAGAACCCCTGGGACGACAGGACGGGACTGCCATCTCCTTATCCAGACACAAGGAGGGGCTTGGGTTGGGAGAGTGAAAGAAAGTGGCATCCTCTGCCCTTTGTCACTCTCAGAGGTGGAGCAAGCAAAGGCACAGCTGGATGCAAAGTAAAATCTGATGGTCTTTCCTTTCCAAAGGAGGAAAAACTTGCAGATATTCCAGCTCGTACCTGTGCTGGAATACCCTGACTACTCTGAGGCACCTGTCCCCAAATGCTTACTGGGACATTTTTACTTCCCTGTAGGTTTACTCACTGGAGAAGAGTATTTTCAGGGGCATACAAAAGTCAGTCCTAATATTTTTGCCCAAAAATGTCCCATCAAATTATCTTCTCGCATCAGAAAAACTTGCAGATATTCCAGCTCGTACCTGTGCTGGAATACCCTGACTACTCTGAGGCACCTGTCCCCAAATGCTTACTGGGACATTTTTACTTCCCTGTAGGTTTACTCACTGGAGAAGAGTATTTTCAGGGGCATACAAAAGTCAGTCCTAATATTTTTGCCCAAAAATGTCCCATCAAATTATCTTCTCGCATCAGGCAAACTTTTTAAAAAAAATGTTGTAGCATTTTATATAGTTTAGCATAGAAATAACTTTTACATATCAGTGTTATTAAATGAAGACATATTTTAGTAAGAACTTCAGTTTAGGCATACAAGTAAACAAGTTTTAAAAGACGGAATTTATCCTTGTGAAGCCAAATGACTTCAACAAGTGCCTGCAGTTAGGGGCAGAAAAAAAAGCCATGGGAGCTGCTGAGACTGCGAGCAGCGGGAAGGACTCACAACTTCAGCTGGTGTTGGATCAGACCAAAGATAAGTCATGTGCCCATTAGGAGAAAAATAACTCACAGAATGAAGTTACTTTACAGATCTAGCACCCTGCTGATTTTTTTATTATTTCAAGTATAGACCAAGACTTTGGAAAAAAATAAGTGTCCTAACAAGCATGGCCAGATTTTGCGCATGCAGTTGTGATGTTTGAGTGAACCACAAGGTTTTCTGGGATGCCTCCCATAAATAAAACTCTCAAAAAATACGAGGGCTGTTATGTTTACAGAGCAGCTCCAAGGCAGATGATGCCCCCATTGCTACATATTATCTGTCATCCCTTGGGGCTGAAAACTGCTGGGATGCAAAGGGACTTTGTTCCTTGTATTCCAAACCTGAAATAGAAATAATCCAAACTATCAAATTATCTGATGTACTTTTAATTACCACACTCTGAACTAAGATTAAAACCACCAGAGAATACATGTGTTCATTCCAGTTTTTACATTGGCAAAAATACTTCTCCAGTTACAGCTGTTAATAATCTACTTTATTTACAATTTCCATTTGGATAAATTTTTGATTCTGATTTTTCTGCAGCTAAGGAAATTGGGAAAATCTTCTAATGCAAGAAAAGTGAGATATACGTATTTCAGCTACATTACTTACCTGCCAGTACGTCTTATGGCCAGGAACATAGATAAATAGCAATGGAATATTATTATCAGGGGAATAAAAAACACACAGCAGCATAAAATCATGGTGTAACTTCTGTTTGCCGGGGAGTAGGTTACATAGTCCCATGTACAGGATATCATCAAGCCCTCAGGCACATAGGAACCTAGGAAATACATGGAATACGTTATTCACACATACACCCAAGCTTGTGCAGTTGCTGATCCAACAACTAAGTGCTTAAAATAAACCCCATACTGTATACACAGCCTTCAAGGGCTACACTGGCCATATTATACATGTGGTCTGAGAGTGCAAGTGCCCTCGTGGAGAGGAGGTCCTGACTGCCAGACTCCCAGATACACCTCATACTCCATTGGCAATTTGTTCTGCTTCAATCCAACCCAGGGGTAGGGGGGTGCCTGCACTGCAATAGGTGCAGATAGACAGTATGACAAAAAAAAAATCAGGTGGTGGACAGCTGTCCCCCTGAGAACTTATCGAAAACCTCATTTTGTCATGCCCTAAGCAAGGCAAAAGCAGACTACGTAGGGAACGCTAGAAGAGAGAGAGCAGCCAACATACTCCACCCGAGGAGTGGAGCCACGCTCCATCCCAGCGAGTACAGCCACACGACAGCAATGATCTGTATGGTGCGTTTCTTTGAAGTCCACTGGATGGATCTCAGGGGCTTTGTGATCACAAGGTAGCGGTCAACAGAAATAGCCAATAAAGTCATCATGGAGGTGATTCCAAAGAGTGCCCCGCAGAAGGCGTACAAGTCGCAGCCTGGAGCAGAAAATGGCAATGTCAGGGATTTTCTTAAAACAGATGCACGTTTTCTCTCACAGCCTGACATGATAAACCTCACATTTTTTCCTGGCTTGGGAATTTTCTCCCATTAGAAGAATTATCTTAGACTCATAATTTTGTAATTATGAACCATTTATTAGTAAAGCCACAAATATTAATAAAATACAAACATACGTATTTCACAAGTCCTAGTCTCTCCAACTGGGGGCTGCAACTGGGAACCTTTTGTCAATGGAAAACTGCCTCGAGAAAAGCTAATCTAATTAAAGTTACATTTTCCTGGACTGTTGCCCAATATATTGATCTTAACAGGCTGCAGCAGATATCTGTCTGCTAATGACAGATGCATGTTTTGAAAAATGACTTTGGTTTATGTGGTTTAAAAATGTAAAAGTGGTTTAAATTTGATGGCTAAAAGACCAGCTGCAAAACATAGCTCCAGCTCCACTGCGTATATTTAATAGCAGCACTTTAAAAAAAAACAACAAATCGACAGCTTTTACATGAAACAGGTTTTTTTTCCCCCTCCTCTTTGCATTCAAGAATTGTGCTAGCAGACAAGAACTTGTAGAGTTACACTGTCCCTAATGTGATTCAGAAACCTGTGTTGAATGATCATTCATTTTCTGAGACCTTCCGTCACCCCGTTTGGTTACAGACGGCAGCCCACCAGGAATGGGAGGCAGTCGAAATACCACATTCAACCTTAAAGCAGACTTGTTCTAAAATCTTTATAAGTACCCTGCAATTAAAGACCACATCCCACTCAAACCAAATCAGTCACTCCATTCACACTGATTTTATCTAAGGGGGTGAGCAAGACTGAAAACATCCTCCAACTAAAGAAGAGCCCCTGCTAAATAACACACGACCTCTGGGCTTGCTCCACCAATACACAGCCACTACTTGGTGCACATTTTCACCCAACAATCTCATAAGCAGTACCATGCAGAGCATGGAGCCTTCTGAGAAACTTGCTATACTCACATTTGAGCTATAATTGGATCACCTTGGAAGGAAAGGAGCCTAAATTTGCAGAGAGTCCTCAACTGACTATCGTTATTTAAATATCTTAACTAAATGTGAGATTCCTAGAGACATGCTAAGAGAATCAACATTTCTAAATGAAAATATTACCTCCCTTCTTAAATTAATACAGAAAATGCATATATGACTTAATAAAACTTTTCACCCATCTTCAGCCATAGCATCTGCCCTTACAAGCTGAAGGGTAACATGATTACATGTTGATGTTGACTCCTTTCATTCCAAAATGAGATGAAAGAATCAAACCAATCATGCAAAACACATGCCATCATGCTGACTGACGATATCAAGAACTTGAGTTGTCACTCAAGAGCCTTGTGCTGCTGTCTCCAAGGCACAAGCCAAGACTGATATGGCTCAAATAGGCTGCGGACAGTGTAAAGCTGGTGGGGTACGAACGAGTGTTGAGCAGTACCTATATCTCCAAGGATCCACTCTCTGTGCAGGCTGTTGATGAAGCACATGGGTGCCTGAGAAGCTGACATCAGCAAGTCGCTCACAGCCAAATTCATTATAAAGTAGTTTTGGGGTGTCCTCAGCTTCTTGTTGCTCAAAAACACGAGAAATAGGTGATTTTAAATAGACAAAGTGAACAGCTAAATTTATAACTTTGCTTACTAGCATAAACAAATACTATCCATGGTGGAATCTGTGGTTAATTACAGTCAATCAATTGCTAATCATCAGTCAATTACTGCAGCTAAAGCTGTAGTTATTTCCAAACAACCACTGACAACGGCAGGGGGATGTTTCCTCTTCCAACTGAGGAGGATTCCAGCTGTCTTGAAAAATATGGATTTGTTCAGGGGAAGAGCAGTTCCCTGTAAGAGCAGTAACACTGAGCATTCCTGAGCAGGATCTGAAGCAGGTACAGAGCCAAATTTGAAAAATCTCTGTAGCTGAATTTTTAAAACCTGCTGACCTGAAGAGCTGCCACATCACCACTAACTAAATGACCTTCTGCAATGTGCTACGGCACAAGTGGGGCATGCACAGAGATTTGAAAAAAAAACCCAAACAAACAAACCAAAACACTTTTGTTCATATACATCTCAAAAAGGAGAACAAAAGCACTCAGCTGCAGGTGAGCAGGCAACATTAAACACCACAGCAAGGAGCGTGAAAGCAGCAGTCAGACTGCAAGCAAAGTTTGTCCAAAGAAAACAAACGTCGCATCCCATTTTTTTTCTCCACATCCTGCTACCTCCCCTAGTCTCACTTCTTAGGGATATGTGGAGTTACAACCTCCTAGGAAACTTTCAGCTGGTATTCAAGCTTACCTTTGGCTCTGGCTAAGAAGAATGAGGATGCTGGTAACACGATAAAGAACCTCGCACTTTCACTCAGGGTTGTTTGGTTGAATATCCCCTTGTTGCTCTGACCAAATATTACTACCCACTATGAAATTTAAATTAATTTGTGAGTTCAGCTCATGCAAATCTACCTTAAAACTGGCACTTTTAAGGGATGTACTGAGAAGGTGTAATGCTCAACTAGCAGTCCCTCAACGTGAACCACTGTGTTGGTCGCATGGTGAAATAAAGAGCTTTGATACCTGGAGTCTGAATCCAGGACTTTTCACAGTGTCAGGTACATCTAATCCGAAAAGAAGTCACAACAGAGAGACAGGGAGGAATCAGGATTTTACAAATAGCTTTTTTCTTGGAACCTGCATGTAGTAACTCTCAGTAGTTTGAAATAATTGTTTCTTCTCTCCCAAATGCCTCCTCCAGCGTAGGACACTGAACTACTGAGGCCTCTCTGATGTGCTTTGAAATACCAGTATGTGTGGCTGGCTTGAATTTCTTTCCTCTTGCTGATAAAGAAATACTGAGAAAGAAATTGAGAAAGCCAGCTCAATGCTTCTGCAATTCTAACAAAATCTTGGGTCTCTTAACTGCCTGCAACAGCTGGATGAGAGGGTGTGCAGAGCTTGCAGGTGCTTGCCTGCCTACAGAGATTTTCCTACTTGGACAATTTAATACTTTTATTACACCATCTAAACCAAAACAAATTTTCAAGTGGAGAGCTTGTGCTGCATTCAAAAAAATCACGAAGGTGTCTACAGCTGTAGGGAATTTGGTTTCTCCTCTATCTCTTATTAAGAGCCAGTTCTTCAAAGTAACTAAACCAATTTATTTGTCTTAAACATTTAAGAATAAGAAACTAACCCATGGTTCATAACCCCAGGCTGTTTCTGGCCCTGTAAGCCCCCTCTGCATCACCACGCATGATGACAGCAAGCAGTGAGCAAGAAGGATTTGGAAATCCAACAGCACAGTGTGGGACAGAAGGCAGCTATTTATTTTTTTTCATTAGATTTTTGCATACTCTAGCTGCAGTAGCTCTGGCTGGCTGTTACACTACCAGAAGCCAAGAGAGCACACAAATGGACAGAAATCCTATGATCTGCCTGAAGCAGGGAATACACTGAGGGCACGAGCTCATTTCATGTAGTGTGTTGCTTTCCTGGTCCTTCCAGGACATCTGGGCTGCTGGGAAGAGTGTCAGTTTTTGTCAAATATTTCTGCAAATCCTATGGGGACGAATAAAGAAGTCAGAAGCCACAGTCTCCCTGCTGCAATCATTAAATGTACTAAACTCTTCTTTAAACTTTTAGGTGGAATTGCTTATCGGACAAGGTATTTATTTTCTCATTTTCTTTGTTTCCTTAAAACAGATGGAATTTACACTGAGGTTACCAGTGATGTGCGTGGGGGATGGGTTGCTCCACCCCCAATTTAATCCAGGAGGGGAGGGAACAAATGCAGAACATCTTCACAAAGACACACGTGAACCTCAAGGCCAATCAAACTAACCATAAAAGGGATTTTTGTACCTGTAAAACGCGTAGAGAACGAGGAGGTTTCCGATGACGCCAATGGAGCCAATAACGAGCACACATGTTCCTACGGTGTAAAGAACGTGGGCAGGAATCTCTGCCTTGGTCACAGTGTGTGGCTGGGTGCCCATGTTCAAACCCTGAGCGGAAAATAGAGGAAAAGGAGAACTTAGCCCATTCAGGATGCTTATCACAGCACTTGCTTCCACAGCTCGTGCAAATCAAATACACACCTCTGTGCTCTTTTCACATCCCTTGTAATCAAGTTTCCCTCAAGTAGCCTTCATTAATTTAAGAGTACAAGGTTATATTAAAAAAAAAAGAAACAAACACAAAAAACAACAACAAAAAAGACAAATTGTAAAAAAATATTAAAGAAGTTACAACGACGATGTGAAGAAGGCAAAGATGTGCCAGCACAAAACTCTGAATAACTGCAGCACTTTGGGGTGCAGAGTTAGCTGACAATGCTGACTTCGGTTCAACAAGAAATAGCCCATCATGCTTGGGTTTCATTAGAAGCACTGATATCAGAACCCACCCTTACAAATATTAAATCCCCCAGGTCTCCCCAAGCTCCCTATCCA